TTTCTAGGATATTCTTGAGACATTTTGGACTATTGGTTTAATGGCTATGAGAATCTTCAGGTCTCTTTATCATAGAAATATTTTGAATGATACTTTTGCAGAATATATCAGTGTGGATGGGAAATTGTTACCTTTCAGAGCTTGAAACACCTCATTCCAAGATTTCCTGGTATTTAAAGTTTTTGTTGAGAGGTCTGCTGTAATTCTAATGGGTTTAGCTTTATAAGTGATTCGCTGATATTTTTTCTAATAGCTTTTAATTCTGTTCTTGTGTTGGACTTATTATTGATGTGCATCTTATTGATGTGTTTTGTTATAGCTTCTATTATGTTTTCAAATAATTTGGCTTTGTGGATTTTTATTTCTTCCCCTTCAAATTTTCATGGATCAGTTTTAGGAGAGGTAGAAGTTTCTAGAGGCATTTTACTACCATGTTTTGTCATTTTGTTTATTTCTTTTCCTTGTCTTACCTTATCTCAATCTGATAAAAGCAATTTATAAGAAATATACTGCCAACATCATATTAAATGGGGAAAAATAGAAAATGTTCTCTCTAAAATTAGGAAAAAGACAAGGATGTCCACTATCACAACTGTTCAATATACTGCTCAAAACAGTAGTAAGAGCAAATAAGCAAGAAAAAATAAAAATAAATATATGTAAAAAAGGAACAAGTCAATTATCATTATCTTTTACATAGAAGACCCAAAACATCCACCAGAAGGTTCCCAGAAATAATAATCAAATTCATCAATGCAGCAAGATACAAAATCAACACACAAAAACCAATAGTCCTCCTGTACATCCCTGGTAAACTCAATGAGGAAAAAAATCAGTAAAAAACTCACAGTATTTTCATGAAAAATCAAAAACTTCTGAATTAACTTAACTAAGGAAGTGAAATACCTCTGCAATGAAAATTATAGTACTCTGAAATAAAAAGATAAAGAGGAAAACAAAAAATGGAAAGGTAGCTCCTGTTCCTAGATAGGCAGAAGGAGGAAGTCAAATGGCCATACATCTAAAACTGATACATAGATAAAAGGAAATCAAAAGTCAAACAGCAAACTAGAGAAAGCAATCTTAGCGGAAGGAATTCCTTCCATATGAAGCAGAAGAAGAAGAGACCCAAATAGCAAAGGCAATCTTGGAAAACAAGAGAAAAGCAGGAGGCATCACAATCCTAGGATTCAAGTTCTATTATAAAGCTACCCTGATTAAAAACAGCATGGTACTATCATACACACACACACACACAACAATGGAACAGAATAGAGGATGTAAGAAAAAAAGATCAAAGCACATTTAACTAACTGACCTTTAACAAAGGGGCCAAAAACATTCACTTGAAGAAAGATAACCTCTTTAATAAAGGGTTCTAGGAAAACTGGCTAAAATAAAATTAAAATGGATCAAATATCTAAATGTTAAAGCAGAAGCAACCTGCTGGAAGACAAAAATGGTAACTAAAACTCTTGAAGTCATGCAACTTCAAAAACTTTCTGAACAAAACCCTGGTTACACAGGAAATAGTACCAAGAATCAAAAAATGGAATCACATCAAGTGAAAAATCTTTTGCACAGCAAAAGAGGCAACTAAGAGAGCAAAGAGATAAATTACAGAATGAAAAAACATTTTTGCAAGCTATTCCTTAGACAGAGGACTAATATCTAGAATATATAAAAAAGTTAAAAAAAATTAGACCCCTTAAATAAAAGTTCCCAAAATGTTCACCTGAAATGAATGAATAAAAAAAAAAGAAGTACAAATGGCCAATAAATACATAAGGAAATATTCAGCATTACTGGGCATTACAGAAATAGAAAATAAAAAAACAGTAGGATCTCATCCCACTCTAGAAAGAATGGGCATCATCAAGAAATCAAATAATAACTAATGCTGACAGGGCTGTGGGGAAAAAGAAACCCTTCTACATTACTGGTGGAAATGTAAACTAGTAAATGCGCTATGGAAATGAGTATGAGGATTTCTCAATAAATGAAACCTAGAAATTTCATTTGACCCAGCTATTCCTCTTCAGTATCTCCCCCCCAAAGAGTTAAAGACATTGCACTACAGTAATACATGTATCCCTACGTGTATAGCACCATAATCCATGATAGCTAACACTGGGAAGCAGCCTACATGTCCATCCACAGATGAATGGATAAGGCAAATGTGTTTACACAGAATTGAGTACTACTCTGCCACAAAGAAGGCTGAGCATGAGTCATATGTAGGAGAATGGCTGCTCCTTGAGACCATGATGTTAAGTGAAATAAATCAGAAACACAAGCTTCAATATTTTATGGTTTCTCTTATATGAGAAACCCAAATTATAAAAAAGAGCAAAATAAAAGATAGATAATAGGAAGTAAGGAGATAAGTGTTTCTCAAATAAGAAGAGACCAAGAGATGAAGGAAGGGGGAAAAGAGCGGAAAGGAAGAAAAAATAAAAAGAATTGAGATGTGTTATGTACATGTACCAACTCTTCACAAAGAATGTAAATATTTTGTACTGCCAATGTGTACTAAAAATTATTTTACAAACATAATGTCATTGTGACATAAACCATTAAGAGATCTCAAACTTTCCCAAAAGTAATCTGTGCATCCTTCTGCAAGCTGCCTTTCCCTCAGTCCTGCAGGTGTTGCTCAGGGATGATACATCGTCTTTTCAGTGGTTCAGATCAGTCACTATGGACAATTCAGTCAACAAACCCCTTGACTCTTTTCCAAATCAATGCAACATTAAACCACTACCTCCATTTTCTTTCTCCTACCATGGCTGAATCCTCCACACTGTCTCTTGCATGGTCACACTGGCCTTGTCACTGCTCCTGTTACTTGGGTCCTTTCCCTCTCTCTGAGTGCTGATGTCCCCACTGACTCCAGCACACTGGCCTCTTTCCTGTTCCTTGGCTAAGCCAGGCAGGCATGTGCCTCTTTCTGTGTGGTACCTTATGCCTGGAAGCTTCTTTGCTAATCTTAATCTTCTTCTCTTCACATCTTTAATCGTCTGCTCACTGAGGCTCTCTCTGTTCCTCCCTTTATCCGACTGTTCCCTATTCCCATTCTTACTGTTTCAATGGCTCTTGTGATCAAGTAAAAATCACACATTTTCCTTATTTTTTGTTATTACTTATTGACTATTTCCCTGCACTGAAATATAGGAGTCTAGAATGAAACCTTATACATATTAAGTGCTTACTAAATAGTTGTCAAATGTTGAATGAAATATAATTCATTTGAAAATAATAATCCTTAATTTGAAAATAATTTTACACTATAAGAAAATAGAAAGTAAATGATTAATTAACTAACAAGATTTGACTAGCTCCCAGAGGTTGATATTGTAAGGGTTGTTTGAGTAAGGTAATATATTATTAGATGCTAAGTCTAAAAGTATTTAGTCATTGTGTATATAGAAGATAATTCTATTGATGCCATTAATTCTGTGAACCCAGGGAAACTTCTGTCTCTGTCCCTCCTCAAGAGCTTGATTTTGCAAATAAAGAGACTCTCCAAGATGACTTGTTGGAATTGTTAACTTCTGTGAGTCTGTTACTTTAGAAAAATGTGAAGTCCATGGAAATACATAAGTGGCAGAAGGGGATTAGTTGTTTAGCACCAATTTCCCTTTCCTCCTCTCTTGTCAGCTAGATTACATTTCCGTTTCCCCAGAAGCCACACCGAGGATTTCTAAAAGCCTACAGTGAAAATAAACCCACAACTAGTAATTTCTCAGGGAACTCTACTAAAACTTTCCAAGTCAGACATACATTTTGTATTTATATTTATTGTTATATAAATGATTCAGCATCAACATATGAATATTACTGAAAACAGAAGTATTTTATGTAAGCAGCATTATTCTTACCCTGTTTTGTAAAAACTCATTGTCTTTGGTTATTTATCTATTTCATATGTGTAAAGGGACAACAACTTCCTCTAGGTTAAGAATTATAGATTATACATTTCTGTGTCCCCTTTTCTTCTGTATACAATGCTTTATACGTGGTTATGGTGTGAATGAATGGATTCTAAAAGCTTTTAAATAACATCGGTCCAGCCTAGATAAGAAATAAATGTCACAGCACAGTTATGCAATGCAAACAAGGTCATGAGAGGAGTCCATAATCTATGTTGTGGGTAGACCAGTGTAATATATCACTAATCTAGTCTGAACAACTGTACTCAAATGGATTCAAATGGCTCTATGACAGACCAAAGATGATCTGTCTTTACAGCACAGAAAATATTAAAACTTGAAGGGAACAGCAATGCCCTCATGTAGTAAGGATGATGCCTATAAAATTTATATAGCTGCTAATGCTTATAAAATTACACAGTAATGATAACATGCTCATAAGTGTTAAGAATTCCAAGGTAGGGGGTAGGGGCCCCAATCCCCTGAACACCGTCGAATAATGCACTGCCCCTTCCAGGCATGGTATGAGTGAGCAGTGCACAGGAAGTATCTGTCCAGTGGGGGAGGCATTATTCTGGTTGACAGATGTCTTGGTGTCTGTGTCCACAAACAACATCTTCGATGGGGTGGCCTAAGACAGCATTATCTCATCCCTCCCCAACTTGTAAATCAGAACAACTCACAAAAGGAAAATGAAAAAACAAGCCAGTGTGGCTAGTATCTCCTGTCTGTGGATAGTTCTCCTACATACTTATGTGATGAAATGAAATCTCCTCTCTGGCTGAAATAACAGATATGTGGCTTCTGAATTTTCTTTGCACCTATTTATGTCATCTCTTTATCACTTGTCCCACCAGAGACCAAAGCAGTTTTTCTAGAATGCAAGAACGTGACTCCCTGAAGGAGTCTTCATTCTATTTTTATTTACTTCATTCTATTTTTTTAAGAGGGCTATGTTATCTTTTTAGATCTTCAGCCCTAGCACCTTCTATTCTCATTCCACAACCAGAAATGGAGCCAGAGGAGTTGACCAGAGCTCTGAGTTGTTATTACATGGATAAGAATTACCTGTGCAAATTCTTTTAAAGTTGGGGTTTTCCAGAAGATGTCCTGGTAGGCGGCACTGGAACCGGTGTTGCCAAAACTCAGGGAACCATGGATTCCTCGTATTTGTGTCCAGCCTTAGCTTCAGGAAATAATCATCAAATGACCTGACCTCTGGTGACTGCAGCTTTATTGTGATTCCCCCATTGGCTTCCACTTCATAACCTTCAATGACTTCATCTCTATCTGCCCATCCATCACTGAAAAATACAGAGAGAAAGACAAACATCTCACAAATAGAACTCAGAGTTAGATGTGAATGAAACAACCCCCACAAGGTTAAAGTCTGTTTAAGTCAGAATTACTACCCATCAATATTTCTCTTTCCAGTAGAAAGTTGTCAAAATAGAATATCCTGTTTCTTCTTCATAGTAGTGAAGGGAGCAATGACAATTATAGCAATGAACACTCATCGAGCATTCGCTGAACCTCAGATTCTGTGTTCTTTATTTTTACTGTTAATGAAAATCTTCCACAGCTATCTAGTCTTGCTGGATCCAGGCAATGTAGTTTACAAGTCCAATTCTCTTTATCACTAAATCACAAAGTCTGTCAGTCACTGTCCTAGCCACAAAATTAAAAGCTAGGCACCTTAGGCCTGCAGAACAAGATCTCAGCAAGGTTTCACATCTGCAATCAATATCTTATGTGAGCAGCATTATTTGTGGTAGGAAACTGACTTCACTGTGGAGCACACCAACCACAGTGTTTGCTCCTGGTACATTTTTCAGACCCGCCTCCCACAGGAATGGCCAGAGATTTTTTTAAGGCTATTGCAAAATAGCAGTACTAACAAAGAATAATCTCACCCCAAGTGAAAAAGAATCCTCTTTCTCACTAAAGGAGAATTCGCTAACATTTTGTTCAGTGGGTTAGAAGCTTTAAAACGTGGTCATTTTATAGAACATTCAGATCTATACCATGCGTGATGGAGCACTGATCTAATTCAGGGCACATGTGAGCTAAACCCAAGCGTGAAAAAAAAGCTGTACCAGATTCGAACAGGAAAGGTACATTATTCAAGATTATTGCAATTGTTTTAAAAAAAAAAAGACTGAACTCAACAATGCTGAAACCCAATGTGAAGGAATTTTAAGTGCTAGGGAGAGCTAGCAGGAAAGTACTGGAGGACAACAGTGAGGAAGCTGCACGATGGGATGTGTCCCCTAATCATCATGGTTATACACTGGTCTCCTAGGCTCCCACAAAAGTTGGGGAAAAGGGGGTTTGCAGTCATTCTTGATTATTACATTTCAAAGGAATGGCCCCCAGGTCCTTGAGAAAGACATCCTTGCAAAGTGGCAAAACTGGCAAGAACCTAGAAGAAGACTTACCTCTCAAAGGGACAGAGAAAAAATTTACAATTGCAAGCTTTCTAAAGCATCTGCTCTAAGAAAAGGGGGGTTGGTCTCTTGGCCAGGAAGAATTGTATCTAAAGTTTAGTGAAGCTGAGGGGAATGATAAGGCCATATTGGTCAGGTAATGTATTTGTCCTTCTACACACAGTGGTGCCCTACAGTCAGTGGAACATAACCATGTAGTATGTGCTGAAGAAAGTGTGTTATTTGCTTCTCACACAGCAGGAACTGGGCCAAATGCATGTGACTAATCATCACTCGCTCCTTTCTTCCTGAGCTCATTTGGGATAATATTCTCTCCCCTTACTAGAGGTAACAGGTGCACAGATTTTTCCCAGTGATCTACACATGAACAACATTTTCAACAGGTTAAGATTGGAGAAGGTATGGCTGGCTTAACATGACCTAGAACTAAAGGGCTTTTGAAGTACAGTATAGCTCGGTGATGGTGAACATTTTTAGAGCATTCATGTGTGCCATAAATTCACCTCGACTGGTATGGCCTAACCATCCCAACCAGAGAATGCCTCTATGCCTCTAAATCCACTAGGACAGAGACTAAATCTTACACAGATTTTTTTCTCCTTCCTTCTCTACTTCCTTTCATCCATGTTTTCTTTTCTCCTTTTTCCCTCCTTTCCTTTCCTTTGTTTTTTTCTTTCCTTCCTTTCTTCTGCTTTTACATAGCAGTCACCATGATCCTGTGCTATGAATTCAATCAAGAACAAGACACACTAATGTATGCCCCATGATGTTACATAATTATGCAGAAAAAAGACAGGGAACAAGAATTACAAACTCTATCAGGTTAAAGAAGTGGATACTACAATAACAATAGCAGTCTGGAGAATTTAACCTGTAAGTGTGTGCTGGGAGAAATGGCTTCCCTAAGAAAGTGAGGTGTGACCTTAGATTCAAAAGAGGAGTACCATTAGTTAGGAGAAGAAAAGAGGAAGGATTTGCATCCATGAGTCCTGGTAAATTAATAAAGAAAAGGCATGGCATACTTAAAGATTTTGGAGATAATACAGCTGGAGCACAGTGAGGGGTGTGGCATGAGACAGGAGTGGATGCATGAATTCCAGTCCAGAAAGGGTGCACCCGAGGGCTAATGAGTTGTGACTAAAAAGGTCACTCAGTTTTAAAATTCTTTTGGAAAGATACCCATCAGAGGGATGGCTGGGTCAAATGGAACCTCTAGACCCAGCTTTTTGAGGTATCTCCATATTGATTTCCATAGTGGTTGCACCAGTCTGCACTCCCACCAACAATGGAGAAGGGTTCCTTTCTCCCCACAATCCCGCCAACATTTGTTATGGTGTGATTTCTTGATAGCCATTCTTTGTGGGGTGAGAGGAATCTCAGTGTTGTTTTCATCTGCATCTCTCGAATGACCAGTGATGTGGAACATTTTTACATATATTTACTTGATGCTTTTACTTCATTGTCTGAGAAATGTCTGTTCATTTCAGATGCCCATTTTTGAATTGGGTCTTTACATTTGGGGGGGGGCTGATTGTATTGAGTTCTTTATATATTTTAGATAATAGTCCTTTGTCTGAGGAGCAGCTGGTAAAAATTTTTCCCCACAGTGTAGGTTCTCTCTTAGTTCTGTCATACCACAGTGTTATATAGAGGCACATACCAATGTTTATAGAGGCACAGTTTGTAATAGCTAAAACTTGGAAACAGACCATTTGCCCATCAGTTGGAAACTGGATAAAGAAGATGTGGTTTTTCTATAAAATGGAATACTACTCAGCCGTAAAGAATGAGAAATTAGATTCATTCATAGGAAAATGGATACATATTGAGGATATACTCCTAAGTGAAATAAATAAGTCACACATGTGCAAATACCAAATAGTTTCTCTGGTGTGAAAAACTGTAAGAGTACATGAGATCCTAATAAGATAATTGACCATATGAAATAGGAAGAAAAGTGCTAAAGGTGTAGGGAAAGTGGGAAGGGTAGGGAAAAGGTAATAAGGGAAAAGAAAAAAATATGACAAAATGAAAAAATGGAAAAAAAGTGTTTGTAAATGGGGGTGAAGGGAGGGCACAGACAAGGGGGAAAAATGAGAACCAAGACCTGTCATGTAAAGATACAAGATCTCAATAATGAATAGAATTGTACTGTATGCCTACAATGTACCAATAAACTCAGTAAAAGAATAAAAATGTCACTCAGATCTACTCCTGTGCAGCACGTGACCTGAGATTCCTCTCTGTCCTCTGTTCACTACCCTGGAGGGTCCTGGAGAGTACTCTGATCACCATTACTGAATACGATGCCAGCAGCTAGATTAGGGATCAACTCTTCATCTTTCCGTTTTCTCACTCCACTCAGAAAGGCTTGACCTAATTTAGGGCTTTACATTTAAAGGTATTTATATCACAGTACCTCTACAGCAATTTAAAGATTTAAGCTGTAGTTTATGCCATGCTCAAAAGGAGGGTAAAAATAAAGCCAGTTAGGTTTTCAAGAAATTCTACCTATGAGCAAATATTTGAAATAAAAATGACATAACTTGAGAAAATAATTACTTTTTGAGATAATTAATAGTCTCAAAGTAATTCATTCAAGGTTTAACATTATGTGAGATTTCTTTCATTTAGTCTAAGAATCTCAACTTAAAAATATACACGAACAAGTTCTTTACAACGGATATCTGATTTTTTTTCTTTTTTCTTTCTGACTCACACTTAGTTTTATAAAATCAATTATAAAAATCAATGCTAGAAGCACAGAAAAGGGTGTCCTGCCTTTGAGTCCACCAGCAGAGAGAGACACCGCACAGCAGGGAAATTTGTCCATGAAAATAGACCAACTGGAAGTTTCACAGTGGAGCCCTAATCCTCTTCACCACTGATCAAAACCCTTCATCCTTGCTGCCACTCCCTGTCCAGGGGTTATTGTTGATGTTAAAGTCAGGAGCTATAAATCCAAGAAGAGCCAGAGGATGACACCAAAGCAACGTTGTGTATTTATACTTTAAATTGTTTTATCTATGTATCACTTATCAGATACATTTATGGGGAATATTTAATGCTACTTTTATTTGCATTAGGGTTTTGGGTGGTGATGTTATTTTGGTGAATTATCTGCGAAGTACACTTTGGAACTGAAAGCTGGCAGCCTGCCTGACTCCTGGCCAGGATCTTTGTTAGAATGTGGTAGTGGTGCAGACTGTGCTTGAACTAAGATCACCTGCAGGCTCCTGGTCACCCATCCAGGGTCAGGAGTGAATCCTGCTGTGCTGGGAGCTGGCCAGTCCCGGCAGTGCTGGACTCTGTAAGGCACATTCACAGTCTCTGGCAGCTTCTGCCACTCCATCTGTTTCCCAGTTATGAGTTCTTTTTTCCTAGCTGTCACCTGGAAATAAAACCACATATTGTGGAGGAACAGGGTGACTGTTTAACAGGAAGCTACATGTCTTAAATATTTCTAGTTATTGACGAAAAGCCTTACTTCCTATTCGCCTCTTAACATTTTTGTACAGCAGCTCTTCAAAAGGCTGTTCTTTTCCAACCAAATCATTGGTCTCTTCCTCATAAAATTTCCTATTCCAAATGTGAGTAATTATAAGATTTCTCCTCCCCAATAAATAGCAGGAAAATATTACTTCTATTTCCACCAATTATAATTTAACAAGAGTCACATGCACATTATTTTGGGGTTTACCAATAAAAATAACTTCAGTGGCAAATGGACGGTTTAAAAAATAACAAATATTATTAATGATGATTTAGACTTGCAAAAATAGGCTAAGAAAATCTATTTCTATTTAGTGAAATAATCAGAGGTACCAAAGAAAATTGTATTTAAAGTTCTATGAACT